CTGCGGAGGCGAAACTCCATTTTGCATCCCAGCTTCGCTGCGGACAGGCGAAAAGACCGACGCGTGGAGACGCTGCTGACCTCCTTTGCCTGAACTGCAAACACGCCCTGTGGTTCTTCCTTTCTACCTAGCTCTTACAGCCCCTACTGTACGAAGGGGGCTCCTTCTACGTTATTTTCCCTCCTTCATTTGTTGCGGTAATTCCTGTCCCTAGCATCGGCCCTGTCCGGCCACGAGCTCCTAAAGAGGCAGATTAAAGTCCTCCCGACACGTGCCCAAGTCCCTCCCCACTTTGCCTTCCACAGCCCTCCGCCAGGCATTCCTCCCCTTCGCTCCCACCTCCAGATCCCACTTCTCTGCCTCCTCGGATCCCAAGGAGGCAAACGTGGGCGCCCAAGCCAGGCTTTCCGTTTCCATAGGTCGAAGCTCTTCGTAGCAAAAAATAAAATTAAGAAAGACTTTACTTTTTTACGCCAACTAGTTTATAACTTTCCAGCACAGAATATTTCACCTTTGGCAATAAACAAACAACAGAAAGACCCTTCATTTATCTATTTCTACAAAAGCAAGTGATTTCCTTCTGTTTAGGAATCTGGTTTCATCAGTCTCCTGGCTCGTACTAACACAGCTTGACTTTGATTCAGAACACCCCTCAAAAAACCCTTCTCACATAGAAACAACTATATTAAGTTTACATATTTGATTATAAAACAGTGTATGAATTTTGACAAAGAGAATGTTGCTTTCTGCCTCTAAATTTTTCCGTGTTTTTCTACCATTCATAGATTGGAGTGCTCTCAAAAAAATACACAGAATTTTTAACAGCTAAATGATTGGTTAATCAAACGCAGGGAAGCAGTTGAAATTAAGAGAAAATTGTCTTACCTGTTGTGACACCATGAACAACTCCTTCCTTGGTCCTGGAACCTAAAGAAAGAACAATATTAGGTTGAAAATACATGTTCTTAAGTACTGGTAAAGCCTAGATGGATGATAAAGAGGGATGAATATATAGATTACTTACAGTTGCATACAGTATTTCCTAAGATTATTAAAATGAATTCAAGAGAATTCAATCTAAAGGAAAGGGCAAAACCATCAATAAAGAACAACTGCACGAATGTATATTGACTGTGGAAGGGTAAATAATACCGGAAACACTTCTGCAGTTTCTTTCTTGTATGTACTGACTTTCTTGCCATTTTCTTAATGGCCATGTTAATTAAGCCTCTCACTTTGCAAACTCACATGGATGACTGCACGGAAACCATGTTACTGTTAACGTCCTAAGAAGACTCATGCATGCGTTTGCAGAAGATCAGAGCCAAAGTTTCCAGAAGGTCCTTAAAATTCCATCTTACAACTCTTCTCCAGATCCCAGTTTGCAGGGGTTAACAACCGTTACTGAACTACAGAAAGACCTAGAGGTTAAAATCATGGGGAGCTGGTAGTGCTAGTCAGATTTAGACAAGAATTAATCTGAAAGGGAAACATTAAACAGTAGATAGGATTCAAACATGAAAATGCCACCGGGGTCAAACCCAAGGTCTGCCGCATCCAGTGTCCTCCTTGTCACAGGCACGTGTGACAACTTCAGTAAAGATTATGCAGACAGAAACCTAGACCTAGCACTAGACTGAGACGTAACACAAGACCTGTGTAAGCAATGTAACTCTGCCACCCTGAAGACCAAACCGATTTCTGGAATACCTATTTAAAAATATCATGACTTTTTACCACGCTGCATGAAAGGGAACATCTCTCCTGTCTTCAATGGGAAGAGAAACAAATTAGCACGTATTGCTGTTGAAAACATAACCCCATGTCTTTTCCCCTACCAGAGCTCCACTTGTCCTTGTCAGGTTTTGTAATTTGGCTACATTTCAGGGATTAGTACTCATCTGTGGACTACGATGCTTAACAACGTGCAATTAAGCATTACAGAGACAGTTTATGGCTCCTAGTTTATCATCCTACCCTAGTCTGCCTGAGATAGAATGACTTTTTTTTATTACCAAAACAGAAATTGCCTTATTTGTAATGCAATTTTTTTGTATGTCATTCAGTACTTGAGACATTATAAATTATACTTCTGACTTTATACTTCTAACATCTATATAATTTCAGCTTAACACTATGTATAAAACCATATACAAACTGATACAAGCAGAAATATATTATAAGAAAATGTATGAGCAGAAATATACTAAAGAAAGCAACTTTGTCCACAATTCTTTACAATAATACAATTAAACACTGAAATAAAATGTAAGTTCATTCATCAATATGTCTTACTTGCTGCTAGCGCCAATTTATGGAACTTAAGCCATGTATTTATGACACTATCAGATTGATTACAGCATTGAAAAGGGTCTGTTATCTATGAGCTAGAGCAGAATAATAATCCATGATAAATAAGAGGGAAAAAAAGGTTGCATCAAGTAAAATGACATGTTCCTCTAACTAGCAAATGAAGAGGTTAAACAGCTGAGAAATCTTTTTCCCCCTTCATTCTGATTTTCTCTTTTAAAAAAGCTTGTTTTATCTCTGTGAAAATATCTACCATTGAAAGAATCATCCATTTTATTAAATCCAAGGTGTTAATGTCTAAGGACTTGTTTTAGGACTTTGGTTCTCAATCTTGCGGCACCATGAGACCTAGGGAAGCAAAGCACTTTGAACACATGCTGGAATCTAAGCAGATGATGGTTCTACCAACTTCTAGGAAGAGACTAAACACCATTTCAGGCCTACAGTGTGTCTATCAGAATACTTAACATCAAGCATATGCTTTTAAATGCATTGTTAGACCTGGCCAATATCTCATTCATCTTGTTGAAGTTACTGTCTGCAGGCCAAGCCACTAACACATGGAAACCTGTGAATAGCAAGTACTCAGTTCCCTAGGGCTGGTAAGAGATGGATGATATAACAGAACTCCCTGAGGACCTCTGTGATGCATCTATCTCCAGAGGGACATATGCAAGTTGATTCTTACTTCACTTACCCTGATGTAACATTGCTATAACCACAAATAACATAGAAACACTAGTCTCTTTCTGTTGGTGAAAGACAGGCTTTTCTTTAGTGAAAGCTCGGCTCACAGACACATACAGAACAGAGATATGTATATCCAAATCCATTAATTGGCAAACAACCAGCTAAGTGGTGGTCCAGACCTTACAGCAGTGTTAGAGCTCAATACTATTTCCCCCACTACTGCATACTTGCATAGAAGTAGCTGTTTCTTCTGCAGTCACAGCTACAACAGGATCTAGAAGTACAATAGGGTCTGCCAGAACAGGCCTATAAATACAACAGTTGAATTCGGTAGGACGACTTCTGGCTGGCAATGAAGGAAAGCTGGTCATCCACATTGTTTCTGAGAGAACCTAGCTGCCTTTCATTCTGGCATTCCCAAAACATCAATAAGCTTGCTCGTTATACCCTGCGTAACAGAGGGAATGGAGGAATCAGAGTAGGGATAATAAAAAGACCAAGGAACTTAACACTGACCTACACTACTTAGGTGATGCAGAAGCAATAGTAGTGCATGGTAATGCTACTTTTCCTTGCTATAATACATACTTATGCGAGGGGAGGGAGAAGCCAAAACCAGAATTTTTTACCTTTGTGTAATTATAAAAAAAAAAATACAATAGACTCTCTTCATTATTTATTATCATACACTTTCCTTTTGGAATAATGACAGTGATATCAGCAGTTTGGCAATATACTCATTTCTGGGCTTTTTGAGAGACGAACAGACTATTCCGAGAAAGCCCTCCTTGAGATTCAGGTCACTTAGTAAGAGATGATTAAAGACAGGGAGACATAAGCCCAAATTAGGGGAAGAAGAAATCATCGTCTAAGGAAAACACTTGCTCCCAAGTGCTGAAGCCCATTATTCCACCAGACGGACTTTGAGTCCCTTCACTACTCCGCTGGCTTTTCTATTACCAAAGGAAAATAAGAAACCTTATGACAAAAGAGTACAGCAGGGGAATTTGGATGGTCTTGCCAAATAGGTCACGACTGCACTGTTCTACTCTAAGGCCATGTGCCAGCTAAGCACAGGGAGTAGTGAACGACTCATCCGCTAGCCACCCCGCTCCTGATAAACTATTCCTTTGTTCTGCTAGGGTATAACACATCAAAAATGATCAGACTGGAAACTTCCATTCCTGAACACTGAACATGCACTCAAGAGTCAATTGAGCAAAAACTTCAGCTCCCTGGTAGCAACACAGAGCTCAGAGGAACTCTTGAGCAGTACATCGCTGAAAGCATGCAAGAGCATCCTTCTTGCTCTCAGTTCCTGGTTTCAAAGCGAATGGGTGTAAGTATTGCCAATCGTTTCCTCACTGCTTCACACCAACAGCTCTTGAAGGATACATAGAGACCCAGTTTTAAATTTATG